ACTGAGTGGCGCCGGCCTTGTGCGCATGCGCAAGGTGGGAAAATACCGCCTCATGATTGGTTGAACTTGCCCGGGGATCAGAAGGTATAAATAGAGGCCTGCGTGCCTCTGCTCGGGTTGTTCGTAGAATGGAAGCAGAGAATAAAGACTTGTTAGAAATGCTTCGTCTCAAGCGCCATTATTCTCCGGACTTAACAACTACGACATGGTCAAAGAGCGCATCCTGCACCAATATGGCATCACGACAGAAATGCAACGCCAGTGCTTCAGGCAGTTCCGATACCAGGAAGCCAAAGGCCCCCAAGAAACCTGCCAAATTCTCCAGGCCCTTGCACAGCGCTGGTTGAAGCCAGAAAGGCACACCAAAGAACAGATTTTGGAGTTACTAATTCTGGAGCAGTTTCTAACCATCCTGCCCCCAGAAATGCAAGACTGGGTCCAAGGATGCTGTCCAGAGACTTGTGCTCAGACTGTGGATCTCATTGAAAGTTTCCAGCTGGGAAATGAGGTGAGAGGGACGTAAGTGCTGGAAAAGGAATTTGATATAGGAAACTGCTGAGTTTAGTTATACAGGTAGTCCTCAAGTTACAATTGTAATTGAGCCTGGGAATTATGGTCTTAAGTTGTGATGTGGCATGACCAAATTTGATTTTATGACCTTTTTCGTGGTGGTTGTTAAGTGAACCTGCTGTTCACTATGGGTAAATGTGAAATGCTGGTTTCCAAGGAAGCTGCCAATAGCTCTAAAAGGGTCCTAGTTGCCGAGCACCCAAAATGCAGTCACACGACTGTGGGAGGGGAGACATCAACATGTTGAAATTAGGTTATAAATAGCTTCATAATTTCAAATGGTTGCTAAGCAACTGATCATAAGTTAAGGACTACCTGTATCAATATGCGAAATGAATGGATGCAAAGCTGGGTTGGGAAACTTAAGATTATCTGGCTGTTAGAACTATTTTAATTTCCACCAAACCACATTAGCTGACTCTCTTGAATATAGTGGCAGCAGTGCTTTGTTTGTTTTCAGGCATACCCTATCTGGGCTGTAAAAATCCAGACAGCCATTAAATACCAGCAGTGAGATCCACAAAAGTCTGACTGCCATCTAGTAGTTGCCTGGATTTTGCAGCCTGGATATGGTAAATCTCACCTATGTCAGGTTTCCCTAGTTAATTTGGTTCACTACATAGGCTAGGGCAGGGGTCTTCAAACTTGGCCCTTTTATGACTTGTGGACTTCAACTCCCAGAATTCCTTAGCCAGCATGCCTGGCTGAGGAATTCTTGGAGTTGAAGTCCACAAGTCATAAAAGGACCAAGTTTGAAGACCCCTGGGCTAGGGGGATGAAGATCAGGTTGAGGTGTCTGATGTGGCTTTGCAAAGACAAATAGGAACTATATGATGGTTTTGAGCTACTAATGATATGCACTTTATTCTTGTCATTTGTTAACCAATTGTCAGCATTCTAACTTAAGTCTGCATCTGGGGCTTTTCCACATACAAAAAAATGTGTAGCTTCTCTTTCTCTTTGCAAAACCACAACAGTTGCCTCAACCTGATGGTGCAGGCAATCAGGTTAAGATTCTTGCCTCTAAGACCTCTAAATTGGCTTATCACCTGTGGTCATTCGAGATGCTTGAAGAAAAGTCACAACTTGTATTGTAGCTTTCAGTAAAACCGTGTACACAGCATCTTTCCTAAGGGTGTCCTTCAAATGTGTTCAAATAAAACTTCCAAAATGTTAGTGATTGACAATTCAACTAGATGGCACCAGATTAGGAATCAATGGTTTATATGTGTGTGCAGGGTCATTATGTAGTTTAATGCATGCAGGAAATAAATTTATTTTATTTATTTATATATCATATTTTAAAATCACCTATCTCCCTCATAGAGCGACCCTGGGCAGTGAAATTGTTTCTTTTACATTCCTTGTAACATTTTGAAATGGGTGAAGTGGTTATGGGAGCTGTATTTGTCAGGCCTAAGATGACACAATGAAATTTAATCGAATCCAGTTCTTTAATTCGATATAAAGGATATTGTTTTACATAATAGAAAGATATTGACACTGTTACACCTGATAGACAGAATCTTGCCAGACTAAAGCTATAACCTTTTAGCCTAATAGACAGACTGTATCATTTCTTTTTTCATTGTTTATTCTATCGTTCCATTACTTTACTACAGTTATGTTTATGCTTCTTTTCATTTCTCTGTTTGTATTGTTGTAAGCTGCCTAGAGTAGCCCCATAGAGAAATAAGCAGCAAACAAATTTAAATAAATATAGCCTGGGAGATTCTAGAGCAGGGGTGTCCAACCTTGACAACTGTTGAGACTTGTAGACTTCCCACCATGGGGAATTCTAGGAGCTGAGGTCCACTAGGGTCTTTTTTAAATAAATATTTTATTAATTTTCTAGTTTTACAATCAAATACTTAATAGACAATGTGTTGTCTGGGCCCATTAGTAATTCAGTGGTATATATTAACTTCTTCAATCTAGATCCAATATTATACCATCAAATGTTTCCTCTCTTCTTCCGGTAGTACCTGTTTTCCCACACTAGGCAAATACAATTCTTATTGTTATTAATAAATATACAATTGAATATCAACATCTTTGTTACATTTTTCTCATAATATCAATATCATCAGTTTTAGATTACTTTTCTAACCAAAACATATCTTAATTGCATTTGCTCTTAATATCCATATGTTCAATCAGTATCCTGTTTTCGCTTTTTTTTAATTTTAATTTCCCATCAGTGTTCAAAATGTCTCTATTGTTTATAATTTCAAAGTAAGTTATATTTGGGTAACCAAAAGCTTCCCTTATTCAAACTTCTTAACGTTTTCTTGTTTACCTTCTTATACCAAAATCTAATATTCTAGTTACACATCTTATCTTTCTAGTTATGATAGTACAGTACTTCTATTTCTAGCAATTATCTATTCTCCACCATTTTCAAACATTTAGTTAATAATATAATATCCCATCTAATGGATCAAAACCTCTATTTTCTTCAGTCTTACTTTAGCTTTCGTCCTTTGCCAACTGACTTTCCAAGTCAATGCATTTGAATCATCAAGTAATTTTTTCTCTGTTTTGTATATATTGTTTGCAATAAGAAAGACCATTTGGTTAAAGTATTTTTGGAAGAACGAACCCCTTGATATTAATTTTTTTTAATTTTTATTATTTAAACCAACAAAACAAAACATAACACACATATTTACACAGTATATATTTTAACAGCTATTTCGTAACAGTAATCTTCTATTATTTACATTTCCCCCCTTATTCTTCTTTAGAGTATTTGTCCTTGTTGCCCCATTATTTCTTATTTGCATTTTTCTTCCTTCATACATACATACACACATTTTCCACTTTTAACCTTTCCACATTTATTCTCTCTTATTTCTACTCTCCAGCCAGTCATACCACTTGTTCCATATTAAATAGTATTCTGTGTCTTCCTTTTCTTTTATCTCTTTTGTCAATTTGTCCATCTCAGCACAGTCCAGGATTTTCTTTATCACTTCTTCCTCTGATGGTATATTCTCATTTTTCCAGAACTGTGCGTCTGCTATTCTTGCTGCCGTTGTTGTATGTAGAATTAAGTACCGTATTTCTTTACTATATTTTCTGTTTAAAATACCCAGCAGAAAGATCTCTGGTTTCCAGTCTACAGGTTGGTCTATTATTTCTTCGATCCATCTTCTTATTTTAGTCCAGTATTTTTTTGCAACTGGGCATGTCCACCATAGATGATAATATGTTCCATGTACTTTTTTACATTTCCAGCATGTCGGCGAATTATTCTGGAACATCTTGGCAAGCTTTGCTGGTGGAAGATGCCATCTGTAAAACATCTTCAACTGGTTTTCCTTGAATGCCGCTGACATAGTCAATTTTATATTTATTTTCCATATTTTTTCCCATTTCTCCAATTCTATATTATATCCCAAATTTTTTGCCCATCTAATCATTGTGTCTTTAACAACCTCGTCTTCCATTTTATATTTCAATAGGTATTTGTATATATTGCTAATTAATTTTATTTCTGTTCCATGTATAATTTTATCCAATTCTTGCGGCTCTTTTTGTATTTCATATAATTTTTTGTCCTCTGTATATTTAGACTGAATTTGTGTAAATGTCCACC